ACCTCCCCTCACCTGCCGCCCCCCTCGCCTGCCTCTCCCCTCGACTGACTCTCCCCTCGACTGACTCTCCCCTCGACTGACTCCCCCCTCGACTGACTCTCCCCTCGACTGACTCCCCCCTCGACCCCATTGTGTTTTGCGTCTCCATGTGCACTTCCTTGCATGTTTGAACTTGTGTGTCCGTGGTGTGTGTGTGTGTGTGTGTGAGTGTGTGTGTGAGTGTGCAGACATGTAGACAGTGATGACACATGGACGTGTGTGTGTGTGTGTCCTGGTGTGTATTGATTGGTAGTAGCAGCAATTCAATGTCTCTGACAGGCTGAATTACAGTAATCAGTCATTATTGACTCCCCATCTGTCTCCCCCCACACCTCCCTCCTCTCTCCTCCCTCCTCCCCCTCCCCCCCCCCCCCTCCCCCCCCCTCTCTCCTCCCTCCTCCCTCCTCTCTCCCCCCCCCCCCCCCCCTCCCTCCCCCCTCCTCTCTCCTCCCCCCCCCCTCCCCCCCCCTCTCTCCTCCCTCCTCCCCCTCCCCCCCCCCCCCTCCCCCCCCCTCTCTCCTCCCTCCTCCCCCTCCCCCCCCCCCCCTCCCTCCCCCCTCCTCTCTCCTCCCCCCCCCCTCCCCCCCCCTCTCTCCTCCCTCCTCCCCCCTCCCCCCCCCTCTCTCCTCCCTCCTCCCCCTCCCCCCCCCCCCCTCCCCCCCCCTCTCTCCTCCCTCCTCCCCCCTCCCTCCTCCCTCCTCCTTCCTCTCTCCTCCCCCCCCCCTCCCCCCCCCTCTCTCCTCCCTCCTCCCCCTCCCCCCCCCCCCCTCCCTCCTCCCTCCTCCTTCCTCTCTCCTCCCTCCTCTCTCCCCCCCCCCCCCCCCCCTCCCCCCCCCTCTCTCCTCCCTCCTCTCTCCCCCCCCCCCCCCCCCCTCCCCCCCCCTCTCTCCTCCCTCCTCCCCCTCCCCCCCCCCCCCCCCCTCCCTCCCCCGCCCCCCCCCTCCCGCCCCTCCTCCCTCCTCTCTCCTCCCTCCCCCCCCCTCCCTCCTCCCCCCTCCCCCCTCCCCCCCCCTCTCTCCTCCCTCCTCTCCTTCTTCTCTCTGCCCTCTTCTGTTCTTCAACCTTTTCTTCTTTTTCACCTTGATCATTTGAATCTCCACTGAAGCCTCTCTCTCTCTCTCTCTCTCTCTCCCTCTCTCTCTCTCTCTCCCTCCAGCTGCTATTGAAGTAATATTAACATACTCTGTATATGTGTTTAACGCAGAATAAAAGGCAAAGAAAGCCATGAACAGTCACATGAGCATCAACAGTTTCTTCTCTAGGTTGTTTAGTTTGAGTTGGAATTAATGACATTTGTGCACTGTGGTTCACAGAAGGGGCCAAAGCGTCCGTAGATGTCTTTGGCTCTGACGGCAAAATGATACGTGGAACCAGACTGGAACTGTGTCAGTGTACAGGCCATAGGCAGAGGAAGGGCCTTCACCTCACCAATCTTCTTCCAATGCTGTTGACCCACATTGGTGTTGGAGTTGTCTTGATGATAGGCATACAAGTGGTAGCTGTCTACAGTTGCGCAAGTGCGATCAGTCTCTGCCACACACCAGGACAGAACTATCCCATTCTGACCTGGCACCAATTTCAGCTGTGGTTGCTGAGGAGGGGAGGTCCTCTCAGCCTCGGCGGGTAAACGTGGAGGTGCAGGCACCACAGGAAGAGGGGGAAGAGTCACGGTGGATCCCCGGGATGGTGTAGTGCTGGTTACAGTGCGGGCTTTCAATGGAGTATCCTTTTAAGAGGAAAAAAAATGTTGTTTTAACACTTTAACAACTCACTACCAGAAAGACCACAGCAGACCATAGACCACAGTCAGTTCAACCACCCACACATTATTTGCATGTAAATTCTATGAATAAACACTATGTGAGTATAAGTGATTATAATAATATGAGGACAAGGAATGGGATTGCTAAGAAGAAAATGTATTAGTTGAACAACAAAGAAGGCCCCAAGAATGGACAAAACCATCAAAACATGAAAACATACATTTTCTAACCTTTTATATACACTTTTGATCATATAGACTAGAACTGCCCAAATGGTCATTTTGACTTAACACTAGAACCGCAGGGATTCTAAAACTACTAAAACAGCCGCAAGCAGTCATTGTGACCTTTTCACCATCTGATATGGACACAGATGTGTGGACTGTGCTCGTATGGTGATAGGTATGGTATGGTGATAGGTATGGTATGGTGATAGGTATGGTATGGACAGATTCTTGAGGATACACAGTCCTATTAAACACACGACTGTAAAATGTGAACTGCAGACCTGATCCAGATGTTGTCGTCCACCTCAACAGTCTGGTGTTGGTCCTGGTTGACTGATGGTTACACTAGTTACCACCGTTCAACCACAGCCTTAGTTACCAAGGTGTGAAAAACCCCTGACGACTTTCCTGCATCTGTAATAACAGTAGGATGGTGTGTGTGTGTGTGTGTGTGTGTGTGTGTGTGTGAGAGAGCAGGGAGTGAAACCTCTCATTTAGAAACAGGGCAGGAGAAGAGTCGTCGATAAATATTGACCAGTGAGATCGTTCTCCCAGAACTGCTATCACAGGCTTCCAGAGAGAGAGTTGGGGGGGGGGGGGGGGGGGGGGGGGGGGGGGGGTGAGGGAGAGAGAGAGGGAGAGACAGAGAGAGAGAGTGCACACTTTCTCTTCTGAATAATAAAAAAAGAGTTTTATATATATACACACACTTTATCACTGAGGTGTGTGTGTGTGTGTGTGTAAGCTGCGCTGAGCACAACACACACACACACAGACACACACACACACACTCAGACACACACAGACTCGGTGTGAAGACGCTGGACATTGATTACCTATTGTGTCCACTTCAGCTGAGTAATAACCAACGTTGAGTCTCTCACACTTGAACAAACACCTCAGTCCTGTCTCATCGTACATGAACTCATCGTAGACCGCTGTAGTCCACGTAGACCGCTGTGGTCCACGTGGACCGCTGTGGTCATCGTAGACCGCTGTGGTCAACGTGGACTGCTGTGGTCAACGTGGACTGCTGTGGTCAACGTGGACTGCTGTGGTCAACGTGGACTGCTGTGGTCAACGTGGACTGCTGTGGTCAGCGCAGACCGCTGTGGTCCACATAGACCTCTGTGGTCAACGCAGACCGCTGTGGTCCACGTAGACTGCTGTGGTCAACGCAGACCGCTGTGGTCAACGCAGACTGCTGTGGTCAACGTAGACCGCTGTGGTCCACGCGGACCGCTGTGGTCAACGTAGACCGCTGTGGTCCCCGTAGACCGCTGTGGTGCACGTAGAGCGCTGTGGTCAACGTAGACCGCTGTGGTCCATGCAGACCGCTGTGGTCAATGTGGACCGCCGTGGTCAACGCAGACTGCTGTGGTCAACGTAGACCGCTGTGGTCCATGCAGACCGCTGTGGTCAATGTGGACCGCCGTGGTCAACGCAGACTGCTGTGGTCAACGTAGACCGCTGTGGTCAGCGTACCTGTGTTCTGTGGCAGCTCACGCCCCGTGGTGGATCTAAAGGATACAAGTTCTGGTAGAGAGGAATGAGGGACTTCAGAGCTCGGCTGGCGTTGACGGCTGTGGCTCTGACCAGAGGGGGCAGCACCTTCATGTCCACGATGGCACCGTCAAAGAGTGGACCAAAAAAAGGAACCTGTAGAAGAAAATCAAAGGAACGAACTGTGACGCCCTCTACTGTCGGTTCAATTGCACATTTAACAATTGAGTTAAAAACAAGGAGTTCTGACTTAAACCGGTTAATGACGCAGAAAAACAGGTGATTAGAACGAGGTTGACGTTTAGTTTAGACCATTGTTTCCCAAAGACTGGGTCGCGACCCTCAGGTGGGTCGCAAGGGATTTTATTTACCCCCCCCACAGTGAAACCAGCTTGATTATCATAATCAGTTAGAACAGAGTTAACGTCCACTCTGTTGTTGACCAGTCTGTTTGACCTTTAATTATTGGTCTGTTTCATCACCTTCTCTTCATGATCTATTTCCAGAAATAAGTGAAAAAGAATCAATGATAAAAACATTTCTGAGCAACGTTTCCCATCGAAGTCGATTTCTTAAGGTTGAAGGAGTAAAACTGAAGGTCACTGAAGGTCACTGAAGGTCACTGAAGGTCACTGAAGGTCACTGAAGGTCACTGAAGTTCCAGGATCGCTCACGGACTCACATTTGAACTGTATAAAAACAGAAGTCTCCTTTGATGTCAGGAGAGACACGAGACGGCGATGAGTTCTTTGAAAGAAAGGAAAACTTTCAGGAAGGACAACTGTTTGTTGACTCTTGACTGTAACAAAAGGTTAGCCAAAAATGCTAATATGACTCTACGGTTTGGTTCATCACAGCTGTGATTGGTCCAGAGAGATGAACGATCATCATCTGAGACTTCACGATGACCTCCGTGACCTTTGGCAGAAAGTAGGGCTGTGTATTGTCAGGAATCTGGGGAAACGATACGATATACTGCGATATATTGGGATACTTTAATCCCGACCATATATAGAGCTGTTCTTTCACCGATGTAACTGTAGTCAAAGTGTGTGTGTGAATGTTTGACAGGATACACTTCAGTGATGTTTCTTCTTACGGAGCGTCCAGCAGGTGGTGACATCTAGACACCACATCCTCGTCTGCTTGTCGTCAGTTTGAAAGCGCAGTAATAAAAACTCTCTTTTACCTCTGGCTTCTTGAGAATGTGGATGGAGTACATGTGGTTCTTCATGGGGTAGATGACGATCAGAACGTCTCCAAACTCCGTGGGGATGATTCCTCGCCGGTAGTCTCTGGAATGTTCCGACCAAACGATGTGGACCTCATCGTTCCCCAGGTGTCGGAGCTGGTTAACGGAGAGCAGGGAATAAGAACTTGTTCAAATATACGTGGAAATATTACATTTTTATATTACAACAAAAACAAGCAATAGGCAGAAGACAGGAGGCGGAGCTGGAGGTGGCAGAGTTAAAGATGCTAAGATTCTCTTTAGGAGTGACAAGAATGGACAGGGTCAGGAATGAGGTCATTAGAGGGACAACACAGACAGGAAGGTTTGGAGACAAAGCTAGAGAAGCCAGATTGAGATGGTTTGGACATGTGCAGAGGAGGGACAGTGGATACATCGGTAGAAGAATGTTAGAGATGGAGCTACCAGGTAGGAGAAAGAGAGGAAGGCCAAAGAGGAGATATATGGATGCAGTGAGGGAGGACATGCAGATAGTTGGAGTCAGAGTAGAAGATACAGAGAACAGGGAGAGATGGAAATCAATGATTTGCTGTGGCAACCCCTGAAAAAGGGACAAAGCCGAAAGAAGAAGAAGAAGATTACAACAAATGTTTTTTTGTGGAGTACAGTTCACAAAATGTAATTTCTAATCAAACATCATCATCATCATCATCTTCATCATCACCACCATCATCTTCATCATCACCACCATCATCTTCATCACCATCACCATCACCTTCATCATCATCACCATCATCATCATCATCTTCATCACCATCTTCATCACCATCATCTTCATCATCATAACCATCATCATCACCATCACCATCATCTTCATCATCATCATCAGAGGTTGGTCTGGGTGGTGGTGGTGGTGGTGGTGGTGGAGACAGAGATGGAGTATGGACTGATAGACAGATGGATCACCTGTGTGTGTGTGTGTGTGTGTGTGTGTGTGTCCAGAGTCACTCAGTGGACTGTAGTCTGGGCTGGTGACAGCATCATCATTAACCTTGATGTCTGACCAAACACACACACACACACACACCTCCAGGTGGACTGGACTTTGGTCTCGGCCCAGACAGAACCAACAGATACCAGATCCTCTCAGCTGGTGACATGATGACATCAGTGGCACAGAAACTGTTTTCATTTGTCAACAGCAGCGGTGGAATAGTAGTAGTTACTGATGTTACTGATGTTACTGATGTTACTG